GGTTGCGGGAAAGCCGAGTCCGGTTATCATGCTGCCCCTGCCCCACTGCCTCTGCCCTGCAGACTACCACTTTCAGCGTGCCTGAGACTACGCAACCAAAATAAAGGAATCCTGAAAAGTTTATTTTTTGAAACACGAGACACGGGAAAATAGGATAGAACTGTCTGAAAGGAAGTGATCAAATGCTGACAGTCAAAAATCTTAATTGATAATGTTCCCTTCACAGTGAAATTAAACTCATCAATGCTATCAGTGCAGGAAATCCACAGTCACATTGGCAAATATGTTAAAATTCCTGAAAGCTGGAGAAGTAAGAATTATGCATTTGAATTTATTGACTGCATAAATTCTGTAAGTCATCAGGAAGTACTGAATGAAATGCGTACATCACCATTCCACACTTTGATAGTTGACGAGAACATAGATATTTCTGTTAGCAAAATGTTAATTCTGTATGCAAAATTCCAAACTATGGACGACTTTGTTAGGGTGACTCTATTTGGATCTTAAGGAACACTGGGTTTGCAGCTGAATACAAGGCTGTAAGCTGTGGCCTAGCAGAGCTGCTAACCACAAGGCAGAATAATATACTAAAAATAACATTGCAAGATGCTTAGGCAAGCATTTTCCTAACAATGGCATAGTGTTGTAAGATATATAGCTCATTGTGTAAGGAAAACAGGATGCAGCCCACCAGCTATCACCAGGAGATAAAGCAGAAGTAAGACCTTGGAAGTGAAGAAGGAGTCAGCAAGAAATGGCACATGACCGAAGGAAGTGGAGGTCAAAGTCTTCTGCTTGCGCTAATAGCAAAAAGACATGTAAATAAATGAAATGCATAAGTAATTCCATGCTAATGAAACAAAGAGTAAACAGAGGCAGAGCTTGAGATAGGAGGGAATATGGGTGGAACAAAGGAGGGACAAAGGTGGAGTAAATGTTAATGAGTATGAACCAAGGTGTATAAATGTGGAAAGAACTAATGTTCGTGGCAGCTCTTGGTTTGTTGGAGCTTTGCCCGAAGCTGTCTCCATTTTGAATAAAGCTGTTGCTAGCAATGTGTGCTGGTGTTTGCTCTCTGAGCAATTGGATCATTGCCTCCCTAGTCATTGGGTGTCGCATGGAGTCTGGGTCTAACAGACTTCGCTCATCAGACCAGGTTTGCTGGAATTTTAAAACTGACAGTTTGTGATAGCTCTGCTATTGTAGCAGCAATTAGACAATTTTATGTTGACAACAACTTAGATATGCAAAGGATGGTAATGTTCACCTCCAATGGTGCTTCAGTAATGCTTGGAAAGCACAACGGTGTGGCTGCAGTACTTCACCAGTCTATTCTGCATCTGCTCGAGCAGCACTGTATGGCACACTGGGATGACTTGGAGATTGATGATGCTTGGAAACCCGCATCTTTGATGAGGTGCATTGAAACTCTACTACACACCATAGTCACACTTTTTAGTAGGTCTTCTTTAAAAAAAACTATGTTTATAGAACTATCTAAGGCTGCTGAGTGTGAAACAGTTTCATTTCGGCCACTGAACGAGGTCAGATGGCTCTCTAGACATTTTGCTGTTAGTGCCGTGATGAAGAATGATACTGTATTGATGGAATACTGTGCAGAACAAGTGGCTGAAGACAACGACCCAATTCACAAATACTGCTTGGACAAACTGCGGAAACCAGAGTATCATGTTGTGCTGGCCATACTAAATGATGTCTTAGGTGAACTGCCTGAGTTGTGCAGAATGCTTCAACGAAGTTCACTAACAACAGTAGAAGCATTTCAGCTTGCCAAAGCTAGAATTGCCAAACTTTGTTCCCAGTATCTTGATGAGCCTCCGAACATTTTTGAACATTTTTCTGAAGATGTTCAAACCTTGCTGTCATTATTTGAATCACCTGTTGACACAACATCAGTTATTCGATTCATTGAGCATGCATGTGACCACATGGACAACAGATTTCCAGAAGGTGAATTGAAAGAATGGTCAATTTTTTATAAGGATTCTTTTTTCTCTTTAAAAAACAGGAACGATTTTTCGTTTGGGCATGAGGAGTTGAAAACATTGACAACAAGATATAGCATCTTGCTAAACAAAACTGTAGAAACTTTTAAGAAGGACCTATGCAAACAATACATGGACTTTAACTGTTAGTGAGAAAATGAAAACTGGGGCAATAAAGACCTTTGAAGATACAATCACCTACATACTACAACAGGAACAATTTAGACTACAACAGGAACAATTTAGTAAACTATCGTTACTTGTTGACATCTGTACTACTTTTCAGGCATCTAGTGCAGATTGTGAGAAAGGGTTTAGCCTTACGAACACAATAAAAACAAAGTCTAGAAATCATTTAGAAGTTGATAATCTGGACAAGCTGATGAGAATTAAACTTCACTTTGGTAAATAAAAAGCTATAGTATCATCTTTTGTTGTTATACCGCGGGGCTACACCTTAGAGGGAACATTGCCTGAGAGCTGTGCATAGGGAATAAGGTGGACTGCACTGAGCACCAGGTGGCATCTCTGTGCCCAGAGGCAGCAGGATTGGCTACACGCACCACGCACGGGCTGTACCTCATGCCTGGGCTGGGAGGGCCTGAGGGACCCACCATGAGCTGGATAGAATCACTTGGTAAGCTGGATCTGGGCCACAGGCCATAGTTTGCCCACCCTGTGGTAGTCAGTCACTGAGGTAACACGATGCTATATCTTATTAACCAGTGTACTGGGTTCGGTCCTTGGACCGGTGTTATTTAATATGTTCATCAGTGATTTGGACCAGGGTGTGGAGAACACCCTCTCCAAGTTCGCAGATGATACCAAGTTATGGGGCAAAGTTAACACACCGGAGGGCAGGGAGCAGATACAGGCAGATCTGGACAGGTTGGATCAATGGGCAGAATGAAACAGGATTCAATTCAACAAAGATAAATATAAGGTACTTCACCTAGGGAGGAAGAATCCCCAGCACACCTATAGGTTGGGGAATGACCTCCTCAGCAGCTCAGCGGCTGAGAAGGATCTTGGAGCCACAGTTGATGCCAAGATGAACATGAGCTAGCAATGAGGCCATCAACAAGGCCAATCTCACCTTGTTGTGTATTAACAGATGCACGACCAACAGATCAAGGGAGGTGATGCTCCCCCTCTATGCAGCATTGGTCAGGCCACAGTGGGAGTACTGTGTCCAGGTTTGGGCACTGCACTGCAAGAGGGACATGGAGAATCTGGAGAGGGTTCAGAGGAGGGCCACTCACGTGATTAGTGGCATCCGTGAAAGACCCTACGAGGGGAGGCTGAAGGATCTGGATCTCTTTAGCCTTCACAAGAGACATCTGAGGGGAGACCTTGTAGCTGCCTATAAGTTTATCAAGGGAGGACAACAGGGAATTGGAGATGTAGCAGAAAGCCCCTTTTCCTCTTGCCTGCATTTGCTCTCCCCTCTTTGGATATGTTTCTCTTTTTCTACCTTTTCTTCCTTCCTCTCTCTTTCACTTTAAGATAAGGAATTGTGTTTTCAAATTTGTATGTGTGCATTTTGTATCTCCCCTTGTAGTTTGGTATTTTTATCTATTTGTGTGCCATGGCATTTGTAGCTTATATTTTATACTCCTCACCTTTCAACTTTCAACTGAATATGTTTAGTTTCATAAGTAAATTATACATTGTAACAATGTTAACAAGGGCAGGAATCAAACTGCCCTTCCCTGTATCAGGCTGGCCT